AATCAAAATTAAGTTGATCTAGAAAACAGGATTTAACAGACTGAGGACAATAGCTTATTTTCTAGTAAAATTGTGCATTATGATTGACTGTACAATCAGTTTGTAAATAGGCAAGTCATCCATGGCATCCATTTTGTGAGAGCGTGCATAAGGACAGCGCAGGGCTTTGCATCTGAAGGGAAAATGGTATTTCAGATTGGGGGTGGGGACAATTCCTTCAAACAGCTGGGTCTTTTCCTGGGAGCCTACCTCTAGCATAATCCTGGGGAAAAGACATTTAGTTTAAGGAGTTGTCAACAGGTGCAACTTGTGCAGCCATGTACACTTTGAAATAGTTTTTCTCCTTCAAATCCAAAGCATTGCATAGCCCTAATACATACCATATGTTCTTAAACTTTCAGATGTGTCTGTTTCTAAAGCCCCTAGGCAAACATGATATTTGCTGGGTGGCTTTGGGCCAATCATACTGTTTCCAGCTTACTTTAGGGGGTCGTGGGTATAAAATAGAGACACTTGTCTATGCCATGGTGAACTCCCAGAGAAAAAGGCAGGATAAAAATTCAATAAAATTGATGAGGTTTTTTTTAAAATGAAAGGAGATCCCCATAGAAGCTGCTTTAAGCTATTACAGAAAAGAGAAGATATATATCTAAATTACCCCTAATTTGATTGACCAGTTAGTTATATTTTGTGCTTCATCCATTGAGCTCAAGATAGCATTCATCAGTGGTGCATGAATCTGTGGTTCTGTAGATATTAATAAACTATGACTCTGAAAATCCTTTCACCCAAGGATTCTTCAACAATTCGAAAGCAACTCTCAACTATTCTTATCCCACAATAATGGCATATTTGAGAATTGAGCCAGTTTATTTCTGGCTCAGCTGGGTTTTATTTAAAGCTACAGTAAAACTAATCCTTTGAAATCCTGCAGCTCTGTGAAACTGTTAGTATTTATTTGTAATGTTGACTGTAATTCAATAATATATGGAGGATCACTCCAGCCATGTCATACATGCTTCTATCCCCCCCCCCATTTCATCCCGTTTTATCCTCTTAATAAAATAAGAGGCTGGTATGTTAGTAACTGGCTCAAGATCACTCAGGAAACCTCATATCCAAGTAAAGATTAGAACTAGATATGCCTAGTCCTATTTTATATTTAAAATAATTTTTTTTCTATTTCTGAATAATCTATTGACAATCTTGCTATAAAGACCAAAAGATGTCTAATCTTGTTGAAGAGAGGGAAATGCCTCCTGAATAATTTAGCAGTCTCAAACACACTCTTATTTCATCTCCAAATCAAGGCCAAAACAATGCAATCTATAATTCAGGCATGTAACATATATCCAGAAATGAATATTTTACGTACATATGCTCAAAAGTTAGTATTGTTGGAAGGCTGTGAACAACTTATACATGTAAAACTAGAATTGTTGATCCAGTTTGTTATTTTTGGATTAATACCTTAAGTTTGGGTATCTGGAATGAAGGAAACATGATGAATTGATGACATTCTGGACATTTCCACACCTAATGTTGTAATTCTGATGATAATCTATCCAAATGTTGAGGAAATTGGAAAGATTCATAAAGATAACACTCAAATATAGGCAATGTCTTTTTTGCATGGAGCCTATTTTGCCCTACAAAGTACTTTAGTTTAACCCACATGCTATATCCTGAATTGTAGCAGCAAAATCTTTAGCATTCACATCCCAGTACAGCACTTAAAACATTGTTTTTTCAGTTAAGGAAAACAATAGGGAGTACAGTGATCATAAATAAACATTTATGCAGAATTTTTTCCCTTATTGTTTTCTGCAGTTAGTCTTTAACGATAGTTAATACATCAGGGTTGGGCCTCTAATTGTAAGGATTGTATCATAAAAATAGATCTCCCTCAATTTATTGTAAAAACAAAGGTTAAAACTAATGCAATGAATTCTTAAAAGAAAAAAAAAAGCATTGGTGACTTATTCATTAGGAAAGATGCCATAGTTTAGTAGTGGAGCACATGCTTTGCATGCAAAAAGTCCCAGGCTCAGTTCCTGGAAAGATTCTTGTCTGAAAATTTAAATACTGTTGGGTTATTAATGATCTGATTCAGCACAAGAGACGTTCCTATGGATACTGGGTTTTTATGCTATTGACCATAATTGCAAAATAACAGGAGGCTCTCCGGTACAAACTCTAATGCAGAGCTGGTCAGCTGTTCCAGAGGATGCATTTCTATTTCCAAAATTATTTTTGGTCTGAGGGCTACAAGGAGCTTTTTTTTTTTTTTTAGTGATGTGAAAGAGCACAGAATTAACATTTTAATAGAAAAGCAGACACATGAAATCTTCTGGAAATGTAACAGATTTATGTTACAGCATACCAACTGTTTTTTAGAGACCAAAAAAATAGCACCATTCAAACATCACCATTGTCATTGTATTTTGGCAGTGTGGTTATGAAGCTCTGGAGCCTGCAAAAATCGGAGTGTGGTTAGCAAGTTGATTTCTCCTTCCACCCATAACCTGGTAGAGCTTCATAGTACTGACCAGAAGCATCATCTTCTTTTAAGTAGCTTCCATAGATTTCAATTCTGAGGTGAGCAGAACTTCTTAGCAAGTCAAGCCCAATATGTTAGGATATACAAGTCTTTAAAGTAGGCATCTGAACTGCTTCCATTTGATCCTAGCTTCTCATGTCTCACAGCTATATTTCTTTTTCAAATCACTATCAGAAAAAGAAGAAGATGATGATGATGATTTTTGAAAGAAGACTAGGTTACTTTTTTAAAAACAAAATTGTATTTGATGTCACATACTAGGGATTTCTGCTCCCCTCTTTATCAAGGTGAGGATTAATTTGGTGCATGCAAAGCGCCATCTAGAATGGTTCGGGTTGTATAAAGTATTAGGATGTTAACAACTGAAGAAAAAAAATAAGCTGTGTGTCAATTTTTAGAACATTTCATTAACTCTAAAAGTGTACAGTTGTCCTATGATGTGAAACTGCAAAGCTCTTCAGGTTGTTTTTGCATTACAGTTTAATTTTTGGCCACACATGAATACAGCACCTGTCTGCTGCTTATTAAGGGAACCTGGTCTTTTTCAAAATCAACTCATTGAAGTAATTATCTTTAAACTGATTTTTAGAGCAACTGCATCTTTTCTTAGTCTCACACAGAAGCCTAAAAGAAGGCATGTATTATCAATTCTGAATCAGAGAGAGATGCTGTGCTTGCACTTGTTCAAGAGTTGTAGCATGCTCAGCCATACCATCTGCAGTGCTGAGAATGGAATTAACTAGAGAAAATTTTGCATGTATTGCATGTACAAAGCTGTATTGATAAAATGTTGTTATAGCTGATACCCTGGAAGCAATGGGAGGGAAGGGTATGCATTTGACAATAGTCTGACAAATGCAGAACAGGTTTTGTAACTGCTAACTATAGTAAATAAAGAAGAACATTGAAATACTAACCCTTTCCCCATTTTCAATATTTTCACTTCAAATAATTTATCCCAGTAGTTCCCACATGAATGTGCATTTAATTTGGAAGACCCTCTTGGGGATAACAGAACTATCAACTATTATTTAGAATGAAGAAATTCTAAAAAAAAACCCAAACAATAAACAAAACTTGGAACTTTGTTCTTATATATGACAATAGCAGCAAGGCTTCTCTATGTCCAGAGATGAAAGGACTAATGGAGTTGGATGAGATGGCAAAATTGACTGCTTCAATTAAAGCTTTATCTAGATTAGTTTCTACTTGGAAACCACTCTTGGAATTTTTTGTTAGTTTGTTTGAAACTGAAAGAAAGGAAAATTTAACTTTGAGTTTTGATTGTTAGGCTTGTTTATAATGATAGAAGTACTATTTTTTATGGTTTATTACAGTTTAAAGGGTCATTGATTTTTAGGTTTTTATCTGTATCAAACAAAGTCAAAAGTTACTTTTTGCCCTAGCTTTTTTCACCTTTTTGCCCACATTCCCCAATTTTGCTTTTTCACTCCTCCTCCCACTTTACTTCTAATTCTTTTTTCGTTGCTTTTTTGTATTTTGCACTTGAAATTTAATAAGATTTTGGTAAAAGCATTAGTGAAGAAATTTTCTGAGAGAAAATGTAGCACCCCAGCAGCTTATCCTGTACTCTCAGTTGCTCTGTCTTAAAATTGCTTTTCTTTTAAACAAATTACACTGAGTTTCCCATATGTAATTCACTTCTTAATTAAAGGAGTATCCAGCTTTGTTGACATTACAGTCCAGTGTTTGATAAAATGTATATGATAGCATTTTAGATAAAAGCAATATAGTTTAATGTAATAGGTACCGCTTTTGTTTGGGCTTTTCCTTCCAAATGCAAAAAAAGACTGTTTTAATTTTAATAGTGCATGATCTCAATATAATTGCTCAACAGTTTAATGCAAACATCAAGTTGCATTGCGGATTGAGAACCATTTATTGGCTTTAATATCAGAGATGTAATAAGGTGGCAGTATTAAGCACGGGAGTAAACTCCAGTAAATGCTGGTAGACCTATATAAACATGCATAAGATAATAACCATTTCCAGACAGGGTGTTTGGAACAATACCAAGACCATCTGATTAATGGAACATTCAGAATCCTTGGATGTATGACTGTAAAGGTCTCCAAAGTTATACTTCTTTTTCACAAAGAGAAAATGTGAAAGATTATTTCATGGATGGTGAGCACACTGACATTCCTGACATTTGCACTTTAAAATACACTTGTGTACATTTCTCATTATTTTCTCTTTTTCTGCTAATCTAGCCTTCCTTAATCAGATATTTTTCAAGGTGCAATGAAACTGAAGTTTTCTGCTTTTGGAATCTTGTAACTGCAATTCTAACATAATTGGAGGGTACCAGGTTGGAAAAGGGTGTATAAGAATTTATTCTGTGAGAAATGTATAAAATTGGTACAGAACTGGCATAGGAGAGCTCTTTAACATAACTTTTTTCTTTTTGGTTTGGCAGGGAGACCCCATTCCTGAAGAAATATATGAATTACTGCGTGACAGCTCAGTGCATTCCATCAGAGACCTCCAGCAGGTCCTGCAGATAGAATCCGTAGGTAAATTTCCAGACCAAATGTTCCTGTTTAATAAATCTCAACAGATATAATGGTGAAACAACAACAAATGCATTTGTATACCACCTGAGAAATGCCATTGTGAATTATGTGTTTTCTAGATTCAGATTACACAAAGTAAAACCATAGGTTATATCTGGGTTGAAAAGCTCCTCTCCCAGGACAGTATGTGGCAGTTTACCCATAGAATAATTCTATAGCCTATTTTGGTGTTTGGCTTGAACTGGATCTAACATGTAATTCGTAATGTAACAGGGGCAGAAATATTACTTGCAAATAGATTTTAGTAATGTTTATTATTTTCAAATCAGTCTGTAATGATTCCTGATGTTTGAAAAAAAAAATAGACTGTGATGTTGTAATCTTCCGTGCTTGAAATCAGATATCAGTCATCCATTATTCATTTCCCTGGCTTTTGATTTTTGGTCTATATAAAAGGAAAAATGAATGACATCAGGTAATGAGAGGAGAGTTAATGTTTTGTTTTACTGTGATGACTGGACTAGGCTGCAGAGAGAGTTGGGGATACCTGTCTCAGGACTGAGGTCACAGACCAGATTGAATAGGTTTTGGCACGTGCAGGAATGTGAGCACGCGTCATGGCCACTGGGTTGGCCCTGGAATGTATTTATAAACATTTTCTTCACAGATTCCATTCTGATCCAACCTCTCCTCCTGCCTGTCCCCTCCCCACCCCCTGCCTTCTCTCTTGTGTTTGTCTGTTGGTAGCTTTGTAATCTTTGCCGAGACACTATCTACGGGGGAACAGAATTTCCTGTCTTTGTTTCCGATGCCAGTTGGACCACTGGCACGTTCTCAAAAGCATTCCCGCTCCCTTTCAAAATGCCTGTAAGGGGAGGAGGGAAAAAAAGAGGGAGGGCACCAGCTGTGTTTTGCTATTGTTCCTCTTAAAAGTTGCTTGGCTTCTCCACCCGCCTGTCCCGGACTACACAAGCCATACAATGGTGTGCCTTCCAAAATTAGCAGCACTGGCTTTTTCATAGCTGGGCCTGTTGGCCTGGTCAGCAGTAGCTTTGCTGCCCTATCTGGAAAGACTCTTGGGGGAAGGGCGAGGTTAACTGGAGACCTCTGTTTTTCAATAGAAGATTTGTTTCAAGTCAACAGCATTGCTATTTTTTCCCTTGTCTGTTTAACCTTTGCACAAATACAGCCCCCGCCCTGCCCTGATAAAATTCCAGAAAATGGGGGATGGATGGAAGAAGATGGGAAGATCCAATTAAGTTCAATGGTATGGATAAGTGATAGAGCTTTGATGTCATGATTCATCTTTCTCTTTCTCTTGGGAGTTGGGAGGTTTTAGGGACAATGAATCTGGGAATAATAGACTTTTAGAATATTGTAGAATCAAAATGTATATAGTTGGGCACTGAATCTCCAACATATCTTTGAGTCTTGATTTCTGCAGAATCTGACGTAGAAAACCCGAGGCTTTACTGTATTTCCTTTAGCCTTAAACACAGAGCTCAGTCTGTAGAAACTTTGCCTTCGTTCTTTTTTTTTCCTATAGGCTTTCTATTCCTTGTTTCTTACGTTCAGAATTATTTCCCAGAAATAAAATCTGCCCTGCTTTACTTTATGTAGCCTGCAACTGTGTAGGAACTGTCTTCAAATACTGCCATTGACTTTGGAATCTGGAGGGGTTTGTTGACTCCAAGGAAGCTCTGGCTGATGTGATGAGAATTGCTTTGTTCAGCATTTCCTATGGGAAAATGTTAGAGAATGTTTATAAAGAAAGCTGGCAGCCTTATCTTTTACCCATCCCCCAGAAGACCCAATTGGCTAAAACTGAATACATCCTCAGTAGGAGGGACAGAACTATTATACTTACCTACATCTTCACTTTCGAAAGATAAAATTACAAAGCCTGAAATCTTGAAATATCTCTTATTAGTTTAACAAAGTACAGACCTGAATAGATGAATAAATAGCCAGATTTGTTCAAAGGCAATTGAAATCAGTCATTTATTTTACCATTTGGGTATTATTCATATTTACAATTTTGTTTTGTTTTTAAAGAAGCAACCTAAAATATACCCAGTGCACGTAACACTTTATTACAGGCAAATATTAGTAATCTAAAGAATAAATGTTATTAAAATGATTTATTGGGTATAAAACAAATAGGAGATATAATGTAAGCTGAGGATATCTGAAAATATACACAGAATGTGGAGAAATATATTGTAAAATTTATATCAAATTAATTTGCTGTGCTATTTATTACCAAATTCCATTGAAATGATTTTGTGGTGTTAAGCACCACATTATCTGAACTTGAAATAAATTGTCAAATAGTTTCCACTGCAGCTATTAAGGGGTATGATAAGAACTGCAGATTTTGAGGTCAGATTGCTAGAATTTGGCTTCTACTACAGAATGATAGTCTCACCTTGTAGCTGAAAAACAAAAATCTAAAACATACGTTCTTATTTTTCTCCTTGCTTAGAAATACATTTTAAGTCATGTTGAAAAAAAAGAATTTCATTTTTAAGGTGGGAAGAATCCTTATCTTTGCATCACTGCATTCTCCCTGCAGTCTTCAGGTATATCATTGCTTATCACTTATGATTCCTTCTTATAGGGGAAAATACCTGCACAATTTCATCTCCTAATTTCAAAATACTTATGCAGAATAATTATATATTTTATTTTATATAATACATCTTGAGCAGAATTAAGAAAGTTGGTAGGGCTACAGGTTGTAGAATTTTATTGAGTTTATTATTCTAGTACCACATTGCCTGTAATTCTTCTTGGCTTTCTTAATATGGATAATTATAGTATTTTGCTAAACTGGAACCAGTCATTTCCTTCTTTATGATTTTGTGAACCTTCGGGTATTTGCTGTAGTGATGCAACTTATATATTAATTTACTTAATTATTTTGTTTTTATTTTCTCTTTTTGCAGATGAAGATACCTCTAGTTCATACATGAATTTTACCCAAATGCATGCTGGTGAAAATCTTGTTCCTTTGTCCCGTGGAAGACGAAGTTTAGGTAGGCTGTAGACTGGCTACTGTATTTCAACAAGTAAAGTATGGGATTATGCTTAGTCCAGAAATACTTGAGTTTTAGTTTTTGCAGATATAAACCAGCACTGTCTTCTACCAAACCAAATAAAGTCTTCTTTACAGTTTCAATCTTTGGAATCTGCTTTGTTGCCAGTTCAGAGATGAGAATATTGGTTAATTACATGCATTTAAAAGAGATTCTGTAAATGGAAAATCATAATCCTTTAACTGAATCAATTAATTAAAATAGTTTGTTTTTAAAAGGGCAGAGTAATAAATTTGCTTATAATGGAGGGATATGTAAGATAATTGCTAAATAACTAAGATATATATTTGGTGAAATATTTTCATCTCTTGCCCAACAAAAAACTTACAAAGACTCCTAACAACTTCAAAATACATAGCAGAAATGCCCCCAAACACTTCTGAATAAAATGAGACACAGTAAAACTTGCAATAAGGAAAACAGTCATGAGTTTCAAAGTTGATTTCACTGGGAAATTTTCTTTTGGGTTTTCTAGGTGGAGCAGAACCTATTGAACCAGCGGTAATTGCTGAGTGCAAGACACGGTCTGAAGTCTTTGAAATCTCCCGGAGCATGGTGGATTCAACAAATGCCAATTTTCTTGTGTGGCCACCCTGTGTGGAAGTGCAACGGTGCACAGGCTGTTGCAATACCCGAGCAATGCAATGTCGTCCCACGCAGGTTCGGGTGCGACATATCCAGGTATACAGATATCTCTGCTCTTCTCCCTCAGTTTTTCAATCTTCTTTGAAAAATTACATTTAAGTTGATAGATTGCAATAAACATATCTGACATCTTTTGAAAACAAGGTTAATATTGATGCTCCTGAACCCTGCCTAAATTATCTCCTGGTGCTGGAATAAATTTGGCTTTAATGGTTATGAATGTTCCTTGAGTAAGATACAGGCAGTCCTCGACTTACAACCAGAATTGGTGTTGGCATCTCAGTTGTTGACCTAACCCTAGACCTACATATCTTTATTGTACAATTATCTTTATAAATAGTGTCTTGAATTGCTTAATTTGCATCTTAAAAAAATAGACAAATTTTATATGTTTGTAGAATGTTTACTGAACATGGGGAAATGAATAGACAATTTGTAAGATTTGCAGCTGCTGATAGACAAGTAAAAGATAGCATAGGTACCTCGACTTATGACCATATATTTAAACATGGTCCAGAATTACAATAGCATTGGAAAGGGTCTTTATGGCCCATAAACCACTTTAGGCCATTTCAAAACACTGCACCCCACCCCTACAGTCACATGACCATGATTTGAGTGTTTGGCAACCTGTTCACACTTATCTCTGATTTCCTAGTACCCTGCAGTCATGTGATCACTATTTGCAATCTTCTCTGCTGGCTTCCCCAGAAAATCAATGGGGAAGTAGGCAGGGATGGTTGCAAGCTAAATGTCTTTGGAGATTCTCAGTCATCCAGGTCATGATTGTCCCAAAGATGCTTTTTCAAAAAGCAACTGGACTTTGTTTTTCCTTGAAGATGTTTCACTTCTCATCCAAGAAGCTTCTTCAGTTCTGACTGAATGGTGGAAGATGGAAAGATTTATATTCCTTGCAGTCATCTGGTCATTGGCACTCTTTTTGAGAGTCATTGAGGCCACTTGGTTGTTTATCTGTGCCTCAGGGTCACCTGAATAGTTCAAATGGGTGTGGGACCTTCTTGGAACTGCTAAAAGGATTATGTTGTAGGGGATAGGTAATGCCGTATCCCTCCCCCTCCGTTGAGACAGGCTGTTCAATCTTAATGTAGATGGCCTCTTTGACCCCTTTCAAACCAGCGGCCCTCTCTGCCCAGATTGATTCTGATTCTGTCCAGAAGCTGCTTCTGCCTGCCAAAAGAACTCACTCTCATTTCTGGGGCTGGCTCAAAGAGCTGCCTGTTAAGGGATGCTCAACTCCTTTGGCTGGGTATGAAAACGTGCTCCATTCTTCCATCCCATACCAGGAATTCCCTTCCCGCAAATGTGGATTTTGGCACGGAGGATTTTCATTTCCTGACTGGAGTCCCAGGGTCTCCCTCTCCCCTCCCCCGGGCAGCCCATGCACCTTACCTGGGACTCTGTCTGCTTAATGACCCATGAGATTGCTTAATGACTGCAACCAGGTGCATGCTTCCTCCAACTTTGTTATATGGAGATGAGAATATTGATTATATCTGGAGGAGTGAGTGAATGCCCACTGAATACAAAAGTGAGTGGCCACTACAAGCAAAATATATTGAAGTGATTTGGTAAAGAAATAAAAGACTAATTCGTGTATACAATATATGAAAGAAGACTCAAAGCATTGAGAGGAAGGGGAAGACCAAGAAAGTCATGTTTGGATGGATTTGATGAGACCTTCAAAAGATTAAATTTAAAGAACAAAAAGGCAGTATGATGCAATGTATGGTCAAAATTATGCAGAAAGTAGTTTAATATTGTTGTGCAAAGATAACTCTTTGTTCATTTGCCAACACCTGTTTAAAACAATAGAACTGAAACAGTACACCTGGGCAGTAACAGAAAAATATCACTGCAATCAAATTGGCTACCTATAGGAAACAGAAGATGAGAAAGTACAATCCAGTCAGCCAGAACTTCCAGGTGCATGTTGAGGAACTAATAATGAATTATTGTGTCATATATGAGTTAAACCTTGGAAATTAAAGAGAGTATTTATGCCAACAGGATATGACCTGGTACAATTAGAATTTAAGATCAGTGTAATGATTAACTTACAGCAAAAAGAACTGAGAAGAAATAAGAAATAAGAGTCACAAAAATTTATATAGAAAAAAGATTCTCAAAATGTCAAGAATTCAAATGGCTTCCAGAACAAGTTATCTTGACAGGCAGACATTAATATAAAGCCTTTGGCAACAAAAAGGAAATACAGCAACTAATAGCAAACTTCCAGCATCAAGTAAGGACAAGGAAAGATATGTCAATCAAGAATTTCAACCCAAAGAGGAAAATAACAAGAAAAGAGAGATGAGAGGTACTTTTAAGAAAATCAGAGAACTCGTAGAAAAATTAAAGGTTATAGGAATATTCAAGAGTAATTATGCAAGGGATCTAATTGAAATAAATGAGACTAAAATTGCTTGAGCAATTAATTCAACTCTTTACAAATGGGATTATGCGATGATAGAGATATTGGAAGGGAGGTAATATATTTAGGAAACAACTCGGTGAGAAAATAAGATGCAAAGCAATAGAACACTGTCAAACAGAAAAGCATTGGATATAGATGAAATACCCATTGAACTGCTTACAGGCTTAGGGAAAAGAAAGTTGAATTTATAGCCAACAAATAATGGACATGTTTGTGAGGCATAAAAATTGGAAATGTGAATGTACATATCTATATTGAAGAAAGCCAATGTCAGAGAATGTCCAAAGTTTAAGAAGGATATTTACTTTTATTCCTTGACTACAGTAAGGTTTTTTGTTTTGTAGATTATATCAGTGGGACATTTTAAGGCTAATGGGCACACAAGATTGCCATTCTTTTGAATAAATTTCACAATAAAGTTATTATAAAAACAATATGGAAAAATAGAGTAGTTCAGAAAGGTAGAGGAAATGGATGTATATTGACTCCTTATTTGTTAAACTTGTGTGACAAATATGTTATAAGAATAGAGGGATTGGAAGAAATGACAGTAGACATGGTAAAGTAAAAATTGGAAACTGAACTAAGAATTTGAGATGTACAAACAACAGCAGAAGAGCTCATTAGGAAAGTGAAAGTAGAAAGTGAAAAATCTGGACTAAAGTTAAACATAAGAAAGCATTAAGTATGCTTAGTGGATTTACAGGTAAGGTAGATAGTTCTGGATTTTGGGGGTGAAGAATAGGTAAAGATGGCTAGTATACAAGAGAAAAATAGATTGTCTTAAGAAGGAAGGCAAAGACAAACTCAGGCAAGATCATAAAGGTTTAGGGGATTTTTTTTTATGTCAACAGATATAGGAACAATCCCCCCCTCCCAGTGCTATGAAAGTCAAATATTGTACCACTGTGAAAGGTGAACACTGAGAAAATAATGCAGAAAAAAGATAGTTGTGTTTGAATTATAAGCATGAAGGCAGTCATTAAGGGTGCCATAGGTTGCAGAAAGGTCTTGAAAAACTTGTTTGCTACAGATGATGATTAGCAAGCAGAAACTCGCCTACTATGGACAAATAACGCAAGTGGACTATAAAAATTAATGTGCTTGTCAAGTTTGAGGGAAAAAGAAAAATGGTGTTACAATGGATAATATAGATTAATGGGTTTGGGGATATTGTTGTAATGTCCCTGGAAACTTTTTGGATTGGGACTTTAGACAAGTTGAAATGGAAGTCATGTACTGTATACACCAGGAATTGATTCAATGGTATATAAATACTTTCACAGTTTAAGTTTAATAAGGATTTAGTTATTTATGATAATATTCCTGCATCGTGCTTGGATCAGATATTGCCAATTATATTTCATATATAATGCAGTTCTATAAATGCCTGTTTTAAAAAAGCCATGTTAAGTTCTGTATTGGCTTCTACTATGTTTATAAAGGAGGAGTACTCTCTAACACATTATCCTTTAGTATGTAATAAAATAATTAAATCCAGTAGTCCAATGGTGGAATTGGCAGAAATGAACCTACTGACAAACATGCTAACAAACAGCTTGATTCTTTATTGTGCTGGTGCACCTTAACAAATATATCCCCAGCTGCTCTTCAAAGTTATCTTCTCTGGATGTATTGAAAGTGGGTATCTTGCAAATGACCTCTTCTGATGCTGTTCAGTTTCCAGTCAGTATGGACCTCTATGCTTCTTCCTGGATAAATCATTTAAAAATACAAATTCCTTGCTTGACATCTGTATGAGAACAAATTCCTTGGATTTTTCATACAACAATGCACAAAGGAAAGAAAATGTTACACCATTTCTAAGTGGGAAATTCCTTTCTCCATAAAACTTTATGAAGCAGAAGAGAATGAAGTTGGATGGAATGAAGGGGATGTGATAGTTTTTTGGGGGGGGAAACCAAAGAGTTCATAGGATAGTCCGTGAACGTGATCCTGAAATGCTTTCTTTGAAAATAAAAAAGGCTGTATTTTTTATTCAGAAACAATGTCTACTAAGCAATTTCTGTGCTATAGTGGAATGTGGTTTTTTAAGAAAATTAAACTGAGGGGACATTCGATCATTGCTAGGTTCCTGGGAAGATCATACCTATGCTTTATGTCTGCATTTGAGTAACATGTTTAACCAGACAGGCACAATTGTAGTTCCTTATTCTTAGATGGGCACCAATCAGTCACGCAACCTAGTTCAAGGATTGTCATCTGGAGGAACAAGGATCCCATCTGTTTCTTCCATCCCCTTATGCTAGGAAAATATTGGCAAAACTTTATTACATTCGTGGCTGCTTCTGTATTAGCCACACAAGCCGTTTGGATGTTGCAGACATTCACTGTTTTAAAAGTATGTTTTGTGACTGTCAGACCTTGCCAGTGAATGTTGTAATGCAGCATGTTGTTTTCTCAGAGTTGTGTGCTTTGGTCTCATTTCATTGGAGGACTGACTGACTGGTATAGATGTTTCTGGGCTTCTGAATTTGTGTGACATACTTTATCCAAAAACATACTTTGAGTAACAACTGACTCCAAATTCGAGGATTAAAATGGTCCTTCTTCTGACCTTGAATTGATTAGGTACTGGGTTTCCATGTCATGTAGGACCAGAAATGCCTCTGTTAAGAGTGCTGTGCAAACCATAGCCTCACATCACATTTAAAACAGACTTCAGTAGAATTGCATCCCTCTCCTCCCTAAAGTATTTCTTTTGCCCACAGTCACTCTATAGATTTAACCCTCTTACTCTTAGGTGGGGCTGCTCAGAGCTCCCATGTTGTGTGGTAGTTAAGATATGGACTAGGAATGGGGAGATCCAGGTTCTAAATGAGGCTTGGGCCAATTACTCCCTCTCAGCCCTAATCAATATGACAGGTTTGGTGATAAAGAAAAACTTGTTATATCATGCACTGAATGCTTTGCTGTAAGAACTAAATACAGGCAGACCCTGCAATGCTATGGAACAAATGCTAAGAAAATCAGAAGCCTTTAGCTAGAGTAGTTTGCTGTAGAGTTTTTCCTTTGTCTTCTGATAAGAAATCTGCTGTTACACTTGTGACAGCGACTTGCAGTTTGATCCAGGGTGGCAGGAGGTGACAGGCAAGTAAACAAATGATAATTTCTTGCAAGGAGAATGAATTCAATAACTTCTTGGTCTTCTTTAGCTCCATATAGGTATTACAGGATGAGCTAAGAGGAATTATCTTGAGCAACGAATAGGAGCCAGCACTGTCTTTCATGATGCATTTTTACAATTTGTTTTAGTGAATTAATTTGATATTCTAAGCAGGAGAATTTGATAGTTTGAGTGAAATATTCCAGTTTCCCCAGTTTGGACTTTAGCTTCAGTCCTTCATTAGGATATGCTAATGGATTAATCTAAGATGCTATTTTGACTGAGATTAATTAGACTACATCTGGGCTTTATCACAAGGCAATAACAAGTTTTAAAATGTACAAACAAAATCTTTAATAGTAATAATGCTGCCTGAATTGAGATAAAGTCACAGTGCTATGTATCACAGAGTTTGTTCTTACTCTCTTTTTGATAGGTAAACAAGATTGAAGTTGCTGAAAAGAAGCCAGTCTTTAATAAAGCAATTGTAGCTTTAGAAGACCACCTGGCATGTCGATGTGAGCCAGTATCACCCAGACTTCCCAGTCGAGAAAATTCACGTGAGCACAGAGGTAAGTAATGTAGAATTTATGCTTATGAGAACTGGGTACATATGAAGAAACGTCTGAAATAATAAGTAGAAAGAATTCTTTAAAAATATGTTTGTCAGTGTCAATAAACTTTTATCTACTGATGTTTATTGTGCACCCTCTTTTTTTCTTTGCAGATGAGCCCCCAGTAAGTGCTGTAACTTCTCTTCCAGCAAGACCAAGAGCACACAGGTTCCCACCACAAAAGAGGAAGCATCGAAAGTTCAAACATGTACATGATAAAAAAACATTGAAAGAAATTTTCCCAGCATAAAAATGCTGGTGGGCAGAAGTACAAATGTCAGGTAAATGTACCAGATATAATCACTCATTTGAATTGAATTGAATTGAATTGAATTGAATTGAATTGAATTGAATTGAATTGAACTGAACTGAACTGAACTGAACTTTATTTGGCCAAGTGTGATTAGACACACAAGGAATTTGTCTCCAGTACAGAAGCACTTAGTCCACATGCAAAGCAATAGAATAGTAATAATAATAATAATAATAATAATACCAATAAGAGGGGGAGTAAAGAAGATAATAAGAAGAATAAATAATAATATTACAGACACCCTGCTTGGGTAAATATTAATAAACATTAGACAGCACTGTGAGAATTAGGTGTTCAGCAGAGTGATGGCACAAGGAAATCTAGTTGTTTTGCCATGCAATGGCCTATAATGGTGCCCTGAGAGGAAGAGTTGAAACAGTTTATATCTCAGCCCTTCTTCTGACCTGCACAATATACAAGTCGTCTATGGAAGGTAGGCTGGTTGCAATTATTCTTTCTACAGTTGTAACTATCCATTGGCGTCTGTACCTGTCTTATTTGGTTGCTGTATTTTGGGAACCTCTTCAGCCAAGGTTGTTTTCACAATAAATCCAGTTGAATTACTGAAGTATTATTTTTCCACAGTTGGCTGGAGAAGGAATTCAGATGATCGAATTCCTTATTTCATTTGGGAAGTGCAAAAATATGTGTGTTTATTATGAGTTTGAGACAAAACAGCCCAATTTGAAATATTCTGTTAAAACAGTTGGCTGTGTTCCAGCTGAACTAAAATTAAAACAATTCAAATATTCTGATTATAGGAATATAAGAAACACCAGGGCTTTTTTTTGTCATAGAACGCCCAGAATGGAGTTCCGGCACTTTTTTGGGATGGAACCTTGTAGGGTAGGCAAGGCGGGTTATATAACGTGTGTGAGTTCCGGCACCTTTTTTTTTTTTTTTTTTTTACAAAAAAAGCACTGAGAAACACTGTGAATTTGGAAGAAGCCCCATTAATAGTGTTTCTCATCCCAGATCCAAAAGACTATGAAAGATGACAATCTCTGGTGTCGCCTTCTGTCTAGCTAAATTGTAGGAAAATTAACCAAAAAGATGAGTTTTAAAATATTTTTGAAATTATTAAAGCAAACAATGGGAATTTAACTTAGCAATCATCCACTGCAAATTCAGTTTAGATTACAATCTTTATACCAGCTATTTTGTAAGATCGATCAGTAGATTTGGCGTGTGTTTTTTCTTTTGTACCTCATTGCCAAATATAACTGAATTGCCCTTGATTTTTCTGTTCGTTTATTTGCAAATGATGATGGAAGCTGCTGCAAAAATGTTTACTGCAAAAATTCTGTTAACACTACCGCAATAATAAGCAAACATGTTAAGCTCAAGAAATCAATACAAAAATATACAGCATGCATATAAAGCACGCATGCACATGAAAGCTTAACAGCCCAACCAAGCCAAGTGCTTGGTTAGTGCTCTTTGCATGTACAAAACTTTAAATACATTACCAACACTTGTATCTGAAGATCAGTAACATGTGCTTGCAAAGAAACGTTTGTATAGCCTCTCTGCAAAATACAGTAGAGGCCAACACAATTTAATCCAACCGCCCACAGATACTCTATATTCCCTGTAGAGTAACATTTTTAAAGTTGTAACTTACCAGTCCAGCTGGCAGCAGGCAGCTGCAAGCTATCTTCTGCCTGTCCACATTTTTAATTGTTGCTTTCTCCTCACCCTGTCAAGCATACGCCTATTGCAGTGGAAACATGAGTGCTTCCTATGCTTGTACAAGGAAAAAGAAATGGATAAAGTAAGCTAATCACAACCTGAGAAACAACAATAAATCACAGCACCCAAGACACTGAAAATGATGTACTGTTAAAATGCCAACTTTTGTTCCATATGTGTTTTAAGCTCAGGAGACTTGAAACAGCCAATCAATTGCCCAGCAGTGCCCTTGACATGATCAAATGTTCTGCAATATTCATTTACTGCCATTCGACAAACCTGCTGTGCAATGTTATTTGTAATATTGTCAGCACAGTAAAGTTATAATGATAAATCTTCCGTTACTATGTCAAGCTTTATTTGTGGGAAGAGATATGAAATGAAGCCAGTTATTAAAGCCCACCCAGCCCAAATCAAGAAATTCATATATAATTCATGAGAAAGTTGCAAAGATCAAACCAAAATAAGCCTTTAGCTTTAAAAAAAATGCTTTTTTAAAAAAAGATTCAAAATTATCCTGTCATAAATCATCACTGAAAAAAATGAGAAGACAGTTTAGGAAAACGAGAATGCTACAAATCGACATCAAAATTGTTACGATGTTCTTGAAGGATTTTTATTAGCAGATGTTATGAAACTCAGTATGAATTTCTGTAGCGTGTTCCCACAATCATGTCCTGGTAGACATCTGATCGGTTTTATTACAGATTTTTTTTTCTTTTTGCCACTCTGTAATCCCTTAATTTGGGGTAGAGTTGGGTTGACTGGATGGAGTTGAGCGTTTACTGGCCAGTTGCCCTTCCTAATACCTATGCAGAGTTCGCAGCAGATATTTTTTCTTTGCACCCTGTGAGAGAAACATCTGTCGCTACCTAGGATTGAACTTTCAACCTTCCAAGTGGGAAGTGAGTGTCTTTACCACTAGGCCACCACACCATTTTATTGTAACGACAAAATGTTGGACACAAAATGTTGTGGTCTGATCCAGCACAGTTATACTGATTTTTATGGATACTTTTTAAAAAGTTGCAATAAAAAAAAATCCCAGATTTCTGGAAAAGCAATGAAGATTTATTTCATTTTTTATGAATGTATTACATTTTATATGCTACCCATCTAGTGACTGTGTTTTGTATGGAAGCAATCCTTGAATTTAGCTGTCAGGACAGAAATCTTCTAGATATGAAAATGTGAAGTGGTATAAGAAAACCACAACCAGCATCATACCTGGCTCATTTAGGCACCATGAGCAGATGACTTGTTCTCTGGAATTGAATGCTAACTCTCCTTTTGTTCTTTCCTTATGTTTCAGGTTTATTTAATATATTTGCTGTATAGCCCCCATGGGGTTATCAAAAGTTTCTCTCCGTCCATCTGCCTCAATGCCCTTTTGGACGGCCAACGGTGCTTCCCAATTCTTCATTCGCTGAATGTTTTCTCACCAAAGTTTGCCATTTAAGTTCATAATGGCATTACATCCGCCTCTTGAAGAAGAAAAAGGAGAGAGGAAATAAAGAGCAAAACAACAGCAATGGGAATGGACAAGATGCTTTTTGCTGCAACAAACACTATCGAAATGTTGCAAGACTTGTGGCTCTAATGTGTTTTGGAAGTGGTGGGTTTGGGGAAAACGGGAATATAACAAGGTTATTTTTCCTCCTTTTTTTCTTCCCCATCTTGGACTTAACTGGGCTCAGGTTGTTTACTGTGGCAATGGGCATGTCAAGAGAGTCAGTATGGCAAACAGTGACAGCAGATGCACTAAGGACTTTTACTGTCATGTTTCCACTGATATGTTTAATGTCTTCGTGTATATTTCATTTTTCCTACCATGCCTTGGGGAATTGAAGCAATCAATACTAAATTCCCATTCCTAACACTTTCTGGAACCAGGCAGGGAGCAGTTATGTTGGGAGTCCATCTTACCCACCCTCGTGCAAAGCTTCCTCATGGGTCAAAGAAGTAATTTCTGAAAGTGATGTTAAGAAAGACTTGGCTCCTCCTGTCAATTGAGTTTAGAGATGTTTCTGTTAATAAATTTACATTGGGAAAAGTAATAGTTGTGACTCATGGACAAATTGGGGCTTCTAGCACCCCTGATGTGCTATTTTTGCAACTGCTGCCTCTGTAGTTGCTAGAATAAAGCATTGCTTTTTAGTAAGCAGGGCCACAGCAATTTTTCAGCATGTTGTTTTAAGATTAGGCAGTATACAGGCAATCAGCAGCAGCATCTCTCTAAATGATCTCAAATGCCAGTTGAGGTAAAGAGGTCTCTAGTTAGGATCACAGAGACCTCTTGCTACTCTAGGTAAATAGCAGCAGTTTCGACCAATCATTGATAGGATATAGTTATACAGCATCAGCCTTCATTTGTATGTCATTTTTTTCTCTCTAGCATAGTCATTTATGCCCAGATGCAGTCTTACACAGGGGCATCGGTGGAGTTGGGTCAGAAGTAAAAAGAAGTGAAGATGGCAGTTGCCTTTGCCATCTTGATCCCACCCCATTCCTGGATACCCCAAGTCTTACAGTACTAATCTCAGGTTAATATCTTCCAATCTTATGAAAACCAAGCTGTGTAAAATCTTAGAAAAGCCATACAATGCTGCACAATGTATTGAGTATGTATAAAAGTCAAGTGGTGCTGAATACCATTACACAAAGTGCTGCTGGCCCCATCCCAGTCCAATTAATAACATCTGGTGGATATGGCAGATTTCTCTCTCCTTGGGACTCCAGCTTGGGATTTGCTGTCTTTAAAAATATGATAAATAAGCTGTTTCCTGTCACTAAATGCAAAATTCACTGGAAGTCTTCTGTTGAGACAGTAGCCTTCGAAAAAAGTTTAATTGCCTATGGACCTTTACTGAGAGAATACTGAACAAAAAAGGAAAGGGATATGTGAATGTGTAACGTCCCCTTTCCAGTTACATTTTAGCTCTGTTCATTTACTGTGTTATAAAAGAGGAGAGACAAAACAAAAATGCTGAGGTTATAGATGGGTAGAGTTTGACTGAGGTTTGGGGCATTTAAGGTCTAATTCTATAATTTCTATACTATTGCTTGCCTCATGATGGAAAAATGTGTTTAAATCTTAACTGAAAACATTCTAGTTTTATCCTCAGTGACTAAACACATGATAGAATCCAGCAGTAATACAAATACCTTTATTAAAAGAATCTTGTCTAAATACCTGAAACTATGAAAAACTCTTGGTAAGGGGGCATCAACACAAGAAATAAAGCCTTTTACAATCTTTAAAA